ATGAGAAAAGGGGAGGGATGTTTTATACAGCAATGTTGTTTACCTCCCCTAGATCATAGTTCCGAGAAGTAGTGAAAATACAAAAGCAAAAAAAAAAAATATTTCATTTCAGAACTAGTTGGTCAGATGATGTCAATCTCACATCTGTTTCTAGGGCTGAGGAGGCTATCATGGGATCAGCACAATGATCAACTGCCTTACTTTCCCCAAATAGTATTGTGTGGAAAACAAAGGAAACTTAAATAAACTTGGAGGCCTTTCAACTTTTAGATTACTTTATAAAGTGACTCGGATCTGATGTTTTCAAGGAGAAAGGCAATATCTGCTAAAGTAATAGATTTTATTTTTTAATATAATTGCGATCGTTGATACAAAGATAAGACCCAAAGGGTCACATGAAAGTTGTATCGACACAACAAATCCCACAAAGTTGCTGTGCAATGACTGAAAACACAATTTTCAGTGTACATTTTATTTTATTAATATGTATAAGTATAGATTTTAATGCATAAGTAAAACTTAGCAATCTACAGTAAATGTGGAAAATGTCACCTGAAGTGTTATTTTATTATTGGTAAAGAAAGGGAGTTTACAAATACAACAAAAAACTTACCTAAAGGTTCTTTACTGCACAGTTGTTTTTTTGGACACAAGTTTTTCAAATAAAATAATGCATTTAAAAATCTGAGTTTTAATAGTGTTGCCATTGTGATTAGAAGTTAACATAATTTGACATTATTTTGTTTGTGAATCTTTTCTCAAAATTTTTTAAACTTTTTGTTGTTTCTTTCACAGATGCAGCAAATACTTTATCAAAATTATAAGGAGGAGAAAGGTTCATTTAAAACAACTCTGAAAAATAAGGAAGTACAAAAAGCAGTCTCTCTCCACCCTGTCAAAGACCCTGATTACCAGTATCGTATTTACAACTATCTTCGTTCTGTAAAGATCATGACAGAACATCAAAGGGAAGTTCAGTTACACAGAGATATGGCCTCTATGACTGAACTTATTCAAGATGGACGGCTACCTTCAGAACCTGGTCTGAGTCAGCCTCCTAATCTAAGAAAATTTCATCCACTCAGTGGGAAAGAAGTCATTCCTTGGGATTTTGTGGCTAGATCCATTTACTCTCAGTTTAATAATAATCCACGTAGAGGTATTGATGAATCTGTGAAAGGTGCTCTAGATGAATTGGTGAATCAAGTGATTATGAAAGTAAATAAAAATGCACATCTTCGGGGACGAACTATTGATTTTAAAGAAATACAGTACGGGTACTTCCGGTTAGATCCCATGAATGGTCCGGATTATGTTCTTGACCTTTTGCTCACATACAGAAAATACAGAGGGCGTAAGATGTCAATGAATGTCCGAAGACATGCATATCTGCAGCAGGCCTTTTTACCTGTTGAAATGAGAGAGGAACCTGGCTACGTGGAACAAAACTCTTCAGGTGTTGGGGCCAAAGTCAAATCTTGGCTCAAAATTTTGGCTGGAAATTCTGAGCCTTCTCAGATAGTGAACAAAAGAACAGAATTTATTGACATTATTATGCCTCTCATGGGTCGTTTTAAAATATTTCAGAGATTCATGAATAATTTTGAAAAAGTAGTTCTTCTACCAAAAGAGAATGCGAGGCTTGTGTTAGTGTTATATAAATCTAAAGATGAGCCAGAGGCTCACAGGTTCACTCTGGATTTAGTCCAGTATTATCAAGACAAATATGGCAAAGACTATATTGAGGTTGTTCAAACTGACAATGAATTCTCCCGAGGGCCAGGTTTACAGCTTGGAGCTGGTCGTTGTAGTGAAGACGCGTTAGTTTTCTTTATTGATGTGGATATTATTTTTTCAGCGTCTTCTCTTGAACGAGTTCGTTTGAACACCAAAAGAGGTACTCAAGTTTATTTCCCTATAGTTTTTAGCCAATATGACCCAGAGCCTGTGTGCTTCACTGGGTCTCCTCATTGTGATTGTGCTAATTCTGAATGTGTCTTGAAAGCAGAGGATATTAGTGATGCTGCTGGTTACTGGAGGCAATTTGGCTTTGGCATTGCTGCTATGTATCTCAGTGACTACTATAATGCAGGAGGTTTTGACCTCAGCATTCGTGGTTGGGGTAAAGAAGATGTTGATTTGTATACCAAATTTATTGAAAATTTTTATTACATATTTCGAGCTGTTGACCCAGGAATGACCCATATTTTCCACACTATAAAATGTAGTCAGACTCTGGAAAGTGCCCAAATGGTCATGTGTGTTAACTCAAAGGCTCAAAGCTATGCATCAACTTCACTGTTAGCTAATCAAATATACAGTAATCCTGAGATTCTACGGAGGCTTGAAACATATTCAATGAATCATGAATTATAGCCATTCTTTTACAGCTTTTGTGTTGGTTGTGTTACCAGAGTTCAGTTATCCTTCAAGAAAACATTAATTAAAAATGGTTTATGACAAGTCTATACATTTTAATATAATACTTTTTGTGTTTAAATCCCTGGTGGCCATTGCTGTCTTAGTAACAGTTTGATCATTTCAGATACACATTTTAAAATGATTATTATTGTTTTTGTAACGCATAGTCTGATTTCATAGAATTTATTTATGTAAACTATTTTGAAACAGCAGACATTGAGTGTGTAATAATATCTAATTATTAATAATAGTATCAAATATATCTTGAAATGTAAAACTGACGTAAAATTGAGGTAGAAAATAAGAAAATACATTAGTGAAAATAACTGAAATAAAAACTTTTAAGTAGTGCCTGTATATAATGTTTTTTAAAATAGATTTTTTTTTTAGTTTTATTCGTACAATACTTTTCATGCCTTATTGAATTTTATTGTTAAATTCTGTGGAAGTTAACTCCTGCATGTCTTTGTCTTGCTATTCAAGTCCAACTCATAATTCCCAACCATTATTTTTTTTTATTATCTTAACAGTAAAGTTATTGCTTTTTTTTAATGGTTTGTTCTGTAAATTCTTCTTTGAAATATTTGTGATAATTTAGTAATGATATGCACTTATCCCTTGGACAACTAGTAAATCTATTTTAAATCAAGATTTATTACTTAAGAAAATTGTTTGTGTGTGTAAATATTTACTTACATCTCATTTTATCCTTGTGTTTCCAATTTTTAAATCCATATTAAAAGATATTTTTAAAAAACATTAATTTTGGTTAAATATATAACTGATGCTGCAAGTATCAAGGAGATACACATTTAGGTTTTGATCTCAGCAGTTAAATGGAGTAGAATATTTGTGAAAGTTATCTCTTGCATAAACGCATTTGGTATATAAGAACAGTTAGGTGACTAAGGCGCCAATCATTTCTTGTTGCTGAATGGTCTTAATTAAAAGTCAAGATAAACAATAATTGCTAATCAATAGCGTGTGTTGTATATCAACTAGAATATAATAATGAAACATTCCACCTATCTTGCTATTACATTGGTCTTCAATTGTTCTTTTGTTTTAATTTCTAAGATATTAGATATTATATATATATTTTAAAAACAACATCTACATTGTAACATTGATGTGTCATTTTGTATCAATCTGTTAATTTTGTGTTGTATTCAGCTAAGCTCAAATATGTGACAGTGCTTCCTATAATTATAAATGTTTTATGTTTCTTTGTGATCTTATTTTATTGTATAGCTTATTTTTTCTCAAAGGTTGTATGGTACTAAAACATGATTTGTGCATACATAAGATATTTATGTAGTTATCAAACCTGGCTGTCCTTGGGATAAGTGTACAATTTTAATGGGCCCTTTTAAGGTTATAAGCATAATGAAATTATGAGAAACTAGTGTGCACTACTTCAAGTCTTTGCTAAATTAAAATGCTCTTAGAAGTCTTGCATACATTACTTTTGCTGAAATGATAGCCTTTGCCAAGGGCTACACAATTTGATCAAACTGTATAAGCTACAATGTAGCAGCTTCATATCAATTTCATGAAATATGTCTAGGATATATCCTAATTTTTCATGTTGTTATAGAATTAACACTTTTGTTACTTTTATTTAATCTGTAAACCCATGACAATGCCTTAAAAGTATACATTTAAAATGTGTATTTGTCAAGTGGATTTCGATCTATTGTTTGTTGACATGTTGATACTTTGTGGGGAAAAAGTTAATCATTTTATTGTTAATATTAATATAAATAAAGAGTTGTTATGATCTATGAACAAATTTTTCATATATTTTGTCAATTGCTATTATTGAGAATGGTTGAATGCCTTTGTTCAAGTGTTGTTGTTTTGTGTTTTTTCACTTCAAATTTGTTAAATTTAATGAGAAAATAGCTATTGAACACAAGATCTCTTGAATCCTTTCAATTTTGATAATTTTTTTTGCTAATGTTCTTTAAATATAATTTTGACAATTTTAATTATCTTGTCTAGAAAATTACAAATTGTCCTTCCAATCCTATTCATTAAGATGTTCCTTCAAAAGAGGAATAGAAGCCCAATGCATTCATATCTTTTGATGTTTAAACTGAACATAAGTTGTTCTTGCTGATGATGTTAAGTCATTTCCTTAAATGTTTAAATCACATTGAAAGAAGGAAAGAGTTCTTCTATAAATTTGTCCTAAAGTAATAGAACAAGAATTTTTTTTTCTGAGTATTTATTACGTTACGTTATTTAATAGTTAAGTATTAAATACTTTCTTTAAAAGTTCTGGTTTGGTGTTTTATGTACAATGCTTTAATCTTCTTGGTTGTCTTTTTAAAGTGATTTGCTCTTGCTAAGTGTGAATATTTACTTGTGATAAGCCTGACTGCTCCTTTGAGGGGTCGTTTGATATAGTTCTAAATTCTATAATATGTCGAGTTGAGGGATCCAAAATAGATAGTGAACATTGTAGTGGTGGTCTGACTTAGTTCAACCAGTACCATCTTCAATGTGCCCATGTCCTACAAGCTGATTAACAAAATACTAAAGATATCAGTTTTAAAAGCACAATGAAAGCACAAGGGGGGGGGGGGGTAGACTCTTAAAATTTATTTTGACCAATTCCTGAGCCTTGTTTAATTTTGTTTACTATATCATCTTTATCCTATCAATACATCTTGATAACAATGGGGACATCTTCTTAAATTGCTATGGTTAAAACTGATATCTTTTTTTTCTATTTAAGATACTGAATCCATTCAGGGGAATGTCCTAACTAGCAAACACATCATGTTAAAATACTAATTTCAAATTGCTCTCTACACTGTTGTGTGTGCTCTCATATTAGTTACATCTTAACTTTGTTAAATTAGATCTCAAACTGAAAAGTAAAAAAATCTGAAGCACATGAATTATAATGCATTGGATAATTTTATTAGCTTTATTTAAATGAGGGGGGGAGGGTTGTCTCTGATGACAGATGTCATAATGAGGCATTTCAATATTTAGTAGTTACAACTAAGTCTACACTTAATTCTATGTAGAATTTTCTTTTGTATGCCCAGTTCCAAACAAATATCTAAAAATCCCTTGATTCAATTTAAGCAGTGAAGTAATGTGCCATTGAAAATACCTGCAACGTTTGACAGGATTCAGTAGGATTAAAAAAAAAATTAAAAAATAGGCAGTATTTATTGTTGTAAACATCTGTTTTTAATTTCATTCATTGTCCATGTGTCATCAATGACTGAGATTTTACTAACTTACATTTTGTGTGAATACAGACTGAAAGTTATTTTATGGCAGATTGTTATGCATATAACTTGTTTCTTTATAAGCAAAAGATTTTTATAAAATCTTATTTTATGTATGTATATTGTACATTTTAAAAACATTGTATGATCTCTCCTGTGTAACACAGACACTTGTATATAACGAGGTTTGATATGGAGGCTATGTTCAAATTATATTTATAAAACTTTGAAATTACTATTTAATTATTCGTTTACTTTACAATAAGACTACAGGGGAAAATCAGCTTTTCAGAATAGAACTGAAACTTGATTGAAGAGTGCCTCATCCAACGACGTCTAAGCTTCTTATGTAAAGCCTTTGAATTATCCTATTTCCCTGTAGTCTTCAAGCGTAGTAGATTAAGCTGTGTCTGCAAATAGAATTGATGAAAACTATTTCTGCCCTAAGCTTCAGACTCGAAGTATTATAAAAATGTAAACATACTGCCTTCATTTTGTTAATAAAACTATGCAAGGAAATTAAAGCATGAATCCAAGTAAACAGTTGCTTACTTATTACTGGTTCAGCGAATGCAATGTTCACCCTATTGTCTGTTTAACAGCCTTTGTTTACACGATGTCATCTTCAGAAATCCTTTACCAACAAAAATGTTGCTCTACAAAAAGTGTGTGTGTTATTTTTATTTTTAACTTATGATATGCTTTTCTACATCGGGAATCTAATAATAAAGAGTATTTATTGTTTTAGCTTGGTTTGCTTTAGTTATTTTTTGTGTCAGGTTATTATCTGCCCGCGTTAGATTTTTTTAAATGTAGACTCAATATGCCAATATATCTACCAAATAAGCTTAACAAGTCGACCGGCGGCGTAGCATACGCCGTTATTTTGCAGGGTTACTGCAACCTATGCGACCGCAGTGGGCCCCGCACTTTCATAGGACCCGCGCTAATTCTAAATGTATAAATTATTAACTTAAACCATTTTATAACTTATAACAAATTTCCCGCGGCCTCCTGTCGAGTTACAAGGAACTCCTGGAAATTTCCGGAAATTGCAAAATATACGAAAAAGTCCTGGAAATCTCCGGAATTTATTAAAACCTTTAGAAAACTCATACAAATCTCCGGAAATATATAGACAAAAGTGGAAAACGCCAATCCTACGCGCGATTAAAAAAAACGGTATTATCCCGTAATTTTGGAATCTGGTGTAAGAAGCTTCTCGCCCCTCAGAAGAATTCTCGTAGATAGATTGAAACATTTGGTAATTCTTGCTATTGAGCGTGAGCTATGTAGGAAACAGAATTATTATGATACTAGTCGACCGGCGGCGTAGCATACGCCGCTATTTTGCAGGGCCAACCTTAGGCCACTGCAACCTATGCGACCGCAGTGGGCCCAGCACTTTTATAGGACCCGCGCTAATTAAACCATTTTATAACTTATATAAAACCGATTTGTTCATTGAAAAGATAAGACCCCACATATTCAGATTAAGGCTTTGAGGATCGCCGCCGAAAAAAAAATTATTCGATAAATAATAATAAATAAAATTCAACCATAAATTGTGAGTTATAGTCCCAGAAAAATATCAGATTGAGTAAAGGTTGGAAAAAAGGCGACTAGGAAATAATTATCTGGGTTTAGAACTCATCTCAATCGTGACTCTTATACTGAAAAAATTTCATTTGAATTCAAACTTTTCCAAAGCAAAGTCTTTGCAATTGATTAAGGGCCTATAAATTAATCTTAGAATTTTTTCAACATTATTCAAAAGGTCTTTTTTTTAATAGGATGAATAATGAGCTTTAGGTCAGGAAAATGCGTTTCTTCAGTGAAGAATGCAAGAAAACGCTATTGGCGTCGGGGCTTTGCCCCCAACACCACTGATCAATAATGAGCTGTAGATGTCAGGAGAAGAATGTAAGAAAACGCTTTTGGCTTATGAATAATGAGCTGTAGATGTCAGGAGAATGCGTTTCTGCAGAGAAAAATGCAGGAAAACGCTTTTGGCGTCGGGGCGAACTCCACTGATGAATAATGAGCTTAGGATGTCAGGAGAATGCGTTTTTGCAGTGAAGAATGCAAAAAAAAAATGCTTTTGGCGTCGGGGTTAAGCCCCAAACCGCACAAGGGAAGCTTGCTGCGCTCCCCCAGACCCCCAAGCTTGCAAGAGGAAGGCCTCAACATGACTGTTGTTTTTTTTTCTGCTTTTTTAAAATTCTCATATACCGGTATATATATATATATATATAGGGCTAGGGTTTACTGGGCGTTAGGGTTAGGGTTTGGGAAAAAAAACACTCCAAAGTTCTGGATCCGCTAGTGAGCCGCTAAGAACTACTCATACTGTGGTTGTCACTTGTCGGCTTCATTCTTGAGACATGAATCAGCCAGGAAAACCGACTTAGCAGAGTTCAAGTCGATTAATATGCATAACTAATGACTAATATGCGGATTTTGGTCTCAAATGTGTATCCCGCGAATTTGTATGTGACCCTCCAGCTGTCTCGTTCTGAAGCCGCATGCAACCAGGTGCTCTTTTCTATGTCAGCTAAGGCAATATGGCGCCTAAGCTTGTCTAAAAGCGTTTCTGTAGGGCACCTATGTTACGTCGACCACCTTTTATCTCACCAAAAAGACTGCTTTTGGCATACGTTTGTCCCCCGTACGGGTTATTCGCCCTGCTCGGCGTAACTGTCGGACCATAAGAAGTCCCTCTACTGTCAATACCGGCGTTTGCAATAAATATATAAGATAAGACAGAATGACAAAAAGGGCATCAATTTGACTGGATTTCTAGACTATTTTAGATTATAATTTGACGACAAGATATTTATTTGTGTCATGGTATAGACACTGTAGACCAGTGATGCCCAACCTGATTTGACGTGCGGGCCATTTTTCTTTCTGGCACCCGTGTCGCGGGTCACATCACATGACTGAAGTGGCACAAATATGAAATGAAATTAACTTGAAACTATTTTATCAGAAACCGGTGGATCTAGTAGACCTATTTACACTGAGTCATGGAATATTTTATCTTTCGCCTTCACCTGTCTCTTAGTCTGTTGGACCGTTGGGGAACCCCTCAAGATTTGTCAATCGTCTTTCTTCATTCCTTTCTGGGTTTTTTTGTTGTTTTTTTGCCTTGAATAGAACCCCTTTCAATGGCAACTAGGTCCGTCCATTCTTTTATGTTGTCTTTAACATTGCTTTATCTAGCTCTTCTTTTTCCTGGTACTGTTCCCTGAAGGAAGGTCTTTGCGATCCCCGAAGACCTTGTAATATGGCTATAGAGTTGTTTTTTAACGAGTCGGAAAATGGCTTCCTTTCTGTAGCCTAATTAAAATGTGAGCAGAACTGTAGATTTTCTTGTCTCTTTTTGTCAAATATTGCCATAGATTCAATCCTCCAGTCTCTATGCGTTTAACAATACTTTACTAGCGGTTCAAACCAAAAATGCCATCATATTTGTTTTATAATGCCATTAATTAATTTTTTTTTAACAGACACGCTTTCTTTATGAAACAAATATGTTGGATTATTATCATGCTTCCATAGACATATTATATTTATGTCTATGCATGCTTCATTTAAAAAAAAAAAAAAGGAAAGATCCGTTCTCTTTTCCAAGTAGATTCTCCATTTCATACACGCAAAGATGTTAAAGGTCATGGTACCAATCCACGAGAGAGAAAAATGGGGGCCCTAACGTAGATTCTAGGTAAAGATACATTTTTCAACCTTTTTTTTCCTTTTGTGTAACCACGTCGCGAGCCGCATCGACCCACGAGTCGTATTTTGGGTCACACTGCTGTAAACTATAAGAGTCTAAATCTAGACATCTAGATCTAGTTTCAACATGGTTTCAATAACTGTTTAGGTTACTGAAAAAAAAAAAAAGTAGATTTATAAAAAAGTATACTGTTTCTTTTCGACACAAATATTTTACAGGAAGTTATCTTACCTTTAATTTTAATGTAGACTACCACTGTCACTATCTGTATTGACTATTACTTATAGACTAAAATACCTACTAGATTTATATATAATCTAGATCTATTCATCTATGTAGATTCTAGATTTAGAGATCTATGACTAGTTTAGATTCAGATCTAAATTGTCTAGATCTAGACAGTTACGGTACATAGATCTAGATTCTAGAATTATTTAATTATACTTATTTTATTACTATAACTTATACTTATAGTACTTCTTATACTTTAGTGACTATAGACCACTATAGTTTAGTATAGTTATACTTAGATACTAAGTCGACTAAGAATACTAAGATTATAATAGTTAGATCAATTAGATCTACATTTCTATAATATTCTATTCTACTCTACTTCTACGATTCTAGACTAGATCTAGAATCTATATAGTAAATATAGTATCTAATAGTAATAGATCACTTAGTATTACTACTAGTACTATTTAGTAGTATTCTCTAATATCTAGATTTTGGTATATATATATAAATATATATTATATATTTAAAATATTATTAAATTTTATTATTATATTTAAATTATTATATATAGACTAATATAGAGATCTAGATTTATTTCAAGAATCTAGTTAATCTTAATTCTAGTTTGACTCTAACTCTACTAGAATTCAGTATTAGTCTATTACTGTTAGAATGGGTGGACTCAGAAGCACCCAAAGATCCTGATATTAAAAGTCTCAGGATTCGAACCTGGGACCCCTGGTTCTGAAGCCAAGCAATTTACTGCTCAGCCTATGCACCTCCTATGTCTTCACATTAGTCAATATCAATTTTCACTGCTTTGAGGTCCTGTTTGATTACATCCAGATCTACATAATGTAGGTGGGACAACCAGTTTTCCTTGAGCCAGTAGCAAGTTATAAAGGATGACTTTTGGGATGCGATTTTTGTCCATCCAACAAACATGACCAAGCCAGCACAGGCTTCATTGTATGAGGATTGGGAAGACCCACTATACAGGGTTTGTAGCGCTCCTAAATTGTCCTAAAAATGAAAGTCTCCTAAAATTTGCAAGAATTCTCCTAAAATATCTCCTCTATATATATATAGTCTATAGTATAAAGGCACATTCCTCGTCCCATATGCTAGGACAAATTTGTACAAATACTCCTTCTTCCCTAATGCTATTTGAGCATGGAATGGGTTGCCTGAGCTAGCCAGGAAAAACAGTGACTTGGCAGAATTTAAGTCATTGGTTAATATGCATGACTAAATGCATGACGCGTAGGATGTAATCATCTTCTTTTTTGAAGTAACTTCTGTATTATATAAGAAGATAGTATAGACAGTATAAATCTTTTAACCCTTAAAGCTTTATAGAAAGCTGATTTATTTATTACATTTAGCCCATTTAGGACATGAGTTATTTTGTGCATTAAGTTTTATTGCAAGCATTTCTTTGCTGGTGTAGATGTGATTAAATTTATAATATAAATTTTAAAAGTGAATCTTCAATGATACATGTCAGATCAAAAAATGAAAAATGAATAATAAACTCTAGTAGACACCCACAAATGACCATACAAGTCTGATTATATATGAACTTTTTTTTTGCATGTTAAGACTATACAAATTAAAAATGATTTAAAAGATTTCAATTAAGATATATTTGGAAAAGAGGAATTATTATCTCATTATGCTATCTTTTGTATTTCAGATGCATCACAGGAATATCAATGAAATTTTTTTTATATGCCTACCTCTAAGTTGAAATCTTAAGCCTAATTATG